TGATGACCTATGGTACCATTTACCTTCTAACGCGATTATAAACTACAGCATGATGGGTGATGATTGTCGTAATAGAGCATCATGACGGAGCCGCAGCTGTAATTATGCAGCGCTATCAGCAGAGTGACCTCATTATACGCGTGTTAAGAAAGAGAAACGTTTGCATTTTAACTTTTTCAGTAAATCCTCAGCTAGTCCGTCTTAAGAAGCAACACTCGTCTCTTTCATGTGGTTGACATCTTGATCAAGACGTGTGTTTTATTTTACGTTCAACAATCAAAGTCAAACAGACGCTGTTCAAAACACTTTTGTCTTCTCTCCTCTTAAATGTGAGCAAATCCTTGAAAAACACCTGTTGCCAGATTAATAATTCAACAGTTCTTACTCATCAGCCAGAATCTCTTTTTCTTCTGGCCCGAGTCTTTGTGTCGGCATCTGCGTCTTTCTTCTCAACCACTGCCGCTCTTTTCTTCATCTGTCCCTCTTTCTTCTTCATCTGTCCCTCTTTCTTCTTCATCAGTCCCTCTTCTTCTTCATCTGTCCCTCTTTCTTCTTCATCTGTCCCTCTTTCTTCTTCATCAGTCCCTCTTCTTCTTCTTCGTCTGTCCCTCTTCTTCTTCATCTGTCCCTCTTCTTCATCTGTCCCTCTTTCTTCTTCATCAGTCCCTCTTTCTTCTTCATCTGTCCCTCTTTCTTCTTCATCAGTCCCTCTTCTTCTTCATCTGTCCCTCTTCTTCTTCTTCTTGCTTCTTCATCTGTCCCTCTTCTTCTTCTTCTTCTTCTTCTTCATCAGTCCCTCTTCTTCTTCATCAGTCCCTCTTCTTCTTCTTCTTCTTCTTCTTCATCTGTCCCACTACTTCTTCTACATCTGTCCCTCTTTCTTCTTCATCAGTCCCTCTTCTTCTTCTTAGTCTGTCCCTCTTCTTCTTCATCTGTCCTTCTTCTTCATCTGTCCCTCTACTTAATCTGTGCGGCGTTCGTCTTCATCTGTCCAACTTTATACTACATCTGTGGAACAGGGTATAAATAATGAGTGCCTAAGTCTTCAACCAGGTAAAGAAGGATTAGTCATTGGTCACTCTTGTATAAAAGAACAGAAACCCAAGCAGCAGCACGTGTCGCCCGGTCCGCATCAAAGAGAACACCTACTACCAGAAGTGTCAAGCTCGCTCTGCATACACATAGAGAGTAGGCGGTGTGGTCAAAAGAGAGCAAAAAAAGATAAGTAAGAGGAACATCTGATGTTGTTAAGGGCACAGAAAAGAGAACGAGGGAAAAGAAAAAGA